TATATTTTTTATTTTAATTTAATTTAATTTTTTTATATTTTATTTTATTTCTTTTCTTTTCTTTTAAAGACAGAAACTTCTTCCAGCAGAAGCTGAGATCCTTTTTCACCGTCTACCTGCTACTGGCCCTCTCCTTCTTCCTCATCATCACCCTCTTCGCTGTGTCACTCTCCAGAGGTACTGAGATATCTTTGAATTCATTAATGAAGCAAATTAATTAATTTATTAATTAAGCAAATTCCACCCTGTCCCGTGGAACCCAACGTCTCTCCCTCTTTTTCTCTCAGTTTCAGCAATTTCTTCCAAACTCAACGAGGTGCATCCGGAACGGAAACACAATTTTTCCAACAGGGATTTTCTCTGTAAGTTTTTGGATTCTTTTCCAAACTCACCAATTTTTATTTCACTCCAAAGTTTCCTCTAAATTCTCCCCAAAATGTTGCTGCTCCGTCTTCCTTCGCCAAGCTGGTGCTGGGCATCACCCCTTTGAGTCTGCTGCTCTGCCAGCAACAAAAACTTATATATTTTGGAAAAAAAAAAACCCCAAAACCATCAATTTTTGCGTTGGGTAGAAAGAATTTAGGGTGTTGGTTGCCACCTTGGTGACAATCCAACCTCTGAGCTTCAGGTTTGTCTCCACACCAGTTTGGTTACTGGGAAAACCCTGATGTTGGGATGAAACCCAACGAGGAGCAGTTGGATTTTCCTCAATCCTGTTGAATTCTTCCTCATTTTTCTCCCCCCCAGTGTTTCCCTGCGGCCCCGATTCCAGGGAATGGGAATATTTTGATGGCAAATGTTATTACTTCTCCTTAACCAGAACCAGCTGGTACAAAGCCAAGGCTCAGTGCGAGGAGATGCGCTCGCACTTGGCTGTCGTCAACAGCTTCGCCAAGCAGGTAAAACAACCCAAAACCCCTCAAAACAACCCAAATCTTACACCCCCAAAACATCCCCGGCTCCTGGCTGCCATCAACACCCCAACATCTCCGAGCTGGTGCTGTCATCCTTGAGATCGACCAGCAGAGAGCAGGCAGAACCTGCTCTGTCTGCTTGCTGGTTGAACTGGGAGCACTGGGCTGGAAGCCAAACACAGCCGCTCGCTCACTCCCCCCTTCCCCAGGGGAGAGAATTGGGGGGTGAGGAGACTGGTGGGGTGAGAGAAGAACAAGTTAATCATGGAAATTAAATAAAACTTGATATAATCATGATATTAAAATAATAATAATTGAGGGACAAGGGGAAGGGGACTGGTAGGGTGGG